TTCTGTAACCCCTTGTATGTTAGTTGCACTTCTGCCTTACTAGGGGTGATATTCTTAAAAAAAAAAAAAAGACATGTGCTATTTTGTACCACGACTTTTTGACATCTTTGAAACAGTTTCATAATTCCATCCTCCCAGAAATTGCCATCTTTCTACATGATGAACTGGTTTATGCGGTTTTAACTAGTGGCATTCCCACCTTGCTTGGGGTGAAATGCTTAAAAAAAAATATACACACAAATCATATGGAAAAATTTATTGAATGTCACTGATCAAAATACACATATTGGTCAGAAATTTCAATCATTTCTTTCTTTTTTTTTTAATAGGTCCCCAAGCAAGGTAGTAAAGCCACTAAAACACAAGGGGTTACTGGGTGTGGAAGAATTAGAAACAGAATCATTTCTAAAGATTGGGATGAGAAAAGATTAATCAGGAGGACAGTAGATAGTGATTGGCATTGCATTTAAATTTCCAGAAATTAAAGTCGGCTGGAAAGCATGGAGCCAGAAGGGAGTTCCACAAGCAAGAAATACGAGAAAACTGTTAGCATAGAATTTACGGCTACATCTAGCCAGCTCAACTGCAAATTGATGAGATCTTGACACCAGTACCACTTAAGTCAAAGAGACTAAGTACCATATTAAAGAGCTCATCTGAACAATTACCATGAAAGTATTTATTGAAAAGACACAGGGAAGCAACATTATGGTGGTGGGAAAATGACTGAAACCAAATCACCAGATCAGGACCAATAATATTGCTGATTCTTCTTTGAATTTTATCAAGGAGCACAAGGTAAATAGAAGGGGCAACAGTGTGATATGAAATCACATCTTCAAACATCACATATTGAAAAAGACTACAACCCAATATATATGACAAATATACCACATGAATTCCAGATTATACTCTCTGTTTATATTAAAAATATTTAACTAATTTACATCTTGGCATGTGATCTTATGCAATTTGAGGGTTGTTCATCATAATTTAAACAAATATATATAATCCTATATATTATTATTATACATACCCACACTCACAGATTTGATGGATGTTAGTTGAAAATACGTCTATATTGCATAAAAACAATAACAATCAAAAACTAAAAATCTTTGAAGCCCTTTATATAATAGTTAAAGTCCCAAATAAATAAAGTCAAGTAGGAGTCTAGCAACAAAGTCCTTAAATGCTTATGAAAAAAAATTATATTCGTATGAGCAAAAACAAAAAAGTTACTTCCCTTATACTAGAAAAAAAACCAAAAGAACATGCAAACTTTGAAATTTGAAGTCTAGAACACTACATAAGCAGTAAAAAATGAACAGTTGAAATGTTTTAAATTCACAGAAACACATATATATACACACAGACAACTTTAGCCCTCAAGATGGTTTCAGATGTGATTGTAAGTACTAAGGAAAATAAAAATTATTCAAAAGAAAATTTTGGTATTTTTCTTACTCAATTTTCTAAGTATAGCAAAAAATTAATCTGTGAACTTGAAAGGATCACAATGAAAACTAATCAACATTATATGTCTAAATTAATTAACCAAACCTGTTTCAATATATATATATATATATATATATATATATATATTAAGAAATGGACAAGGTCCGACAATTTATTTATTAAAGACATTTTTTATGTTTAACGTTGTTATTTATAGATACAAGTATTTAATCAAATGCTTTGTTTATGATAAACAGTATTAAATAACATTTACCGGCCTGAATGTCCGAGAAATTTTCATAGAAAATATTCGTTCTTTGACAGGATTCGAACCTGCATCCTATACGGAACCGTCATTTACGCTGACGTGCCTTACCTCTGGGCCACAAAGAACCTTTTCGGTAGATAATAAATTGTTGGACCTTGTCCATTTCTTAATATATGACGTCATTTGTTTACATTTGATACGCCAGAGCAGTTATGAATGTACAAGATTCATGGAAGATTGAAGTTTATAAGCAGTAAATTCGACCTTGTCTACTGAAAAGGTTCTTTGTGGCCCAGAGGTAAGGCATGTCAGCGTAAATGACGGTTCCGTATAGGATGCAGGTTCGAATCCTGTCAAAGAACGAATATTTTCTATGAAAATTTCTCGGACATTCAGGCCGTTAAATGTTATTTAATACTGTTTATCATAAACAGAGCATTTGCTTAAATATTTGTATCTATAAATAACAACGTTAAATATATATATATTTAAACGTTAAATATATATATATATTTAAACGTTAAATATATATATATATATATATATATATATATATATAACATGAACGTTGAAGTCAACACTCTGAGGTGACAGATGGTTTCATGCAAGCAGTCTACTGCAGAAAGAAATGGAAACCTACTGCAGGAAAAATCTTCTGTTATGTCAGTCAAGCATGTATCACATGTGGCACTTAACTGACTAATTTCTTGAAGAATATTTTTATTGACAAGCAATGGGATAGGTATTCTAGTTTATTTAAATAATTTGCTATAAGTTTCCTTCAATCTATGTAGATGTAGCTAAAATAATATCACAAATAAAAGATATTTCAGTGGGCAACTTAGGGAATGACTATCTCTGAGGTGGGAGGGGGGGCATATAATTTCATTAGCCTACAGGCTCTAAAAGGCCATAATCTGGCCCTGGGCAGAATTGTGTGGAAGGGATGATGAAAAGACACAAAAGAAAGGAAATTGTGGAGAGCCATTATTGCCTATGGCCCAGATGTTACAAACAATGGTAAAACTATGACAAGAAATAATCCTTTGTTATTATCAGAAATTTTGCTTTTCTTTCTTTTCTTTTATGCTTTTTCTTTAATTTGGAAAATATTTTAGCAAGTTTTGAAAATGAATTTAGATTTATTTATAGTATTTTAGTTTTAAATAAGTTGGTGATCACTAGTGGACTAACATTTCTGTAACTATGTAAAGTATAGTGTTTCTGAGAATATAATGTCCACCAACGCGTTATACACAAAACTGAATTAATGCGAAATATTTAAAGAAAAAATAATCAATTTTCTTTTAATGTGTAGCCGCATCTTCAATAATGATTTCTAAATCACAAGTAACTTATCATCTGATTTAGAATCAATTAAAAAGTCTTTGTGTAAGTAAATGTTTTCTATGGTTAGAAGTAACATGTATCTGTCATTTCAACCTGTGTACTTTTGCTCTGAGTGGATTGGCTGAAAAGTTGTTGGCCTGACCAAGAAAGGATCCTTCAAAACAAGTCCTAATGTCTGAGGTTACATGGTGAAGATCTGTGAAGTAGTTCAGACCCAATCTTTTTCAGCCATAACCTTCAATGACATCATGTTCAGGGTATTTTTTTAACAAAACATTTTGTGAAAGTATGAGCATAATATGGATGTGTATGTAGCATAGTGGAAAGTAGAATTGGCATGTCAAGTTCAAATTCTAAATGAGGTTGTTGCATTCACTTTCACACTAATAACCTTAGAATCTATATCTTCTCCCTCCAGCTAACAGAATAGACTCGGTTCCTTAGTTTTGGTTGGCAACCAATCAGGGTGAAGGACAACTGAATGCAAATCTAGTTGAGGCTAGTAGCTTCATGCTGTAAAAACCTACTTTCTATGCAAAGCACTGTACCAACACCTAGTGTAGTGAGGCTGCAGACCTATTATCCACATAGAAATCTACAGGGTCAACAGCAACAACATGAGCATTGTTTGTCATCAAATAGATTTGCACAAAGTTGTAGATTTCTCACTTTCTCTCTCTTTCTCTTTATGTGCCTTTTTAGATTTGGGTGACAATATCTCTTTACAGCTTTTTATTATTTGTTGTTTTCAGTAATATTTTCACCTTTACAATTCTTGTCTGTCTTTGTGGTTCCCCAATCCATTTGCAAAGACTTCTCCAATTAATTAGTTATTTGCTTTCTTCTAATTCCCTTGACTTTGATGTGTTCCTTGTGAGTGTTAAATTCTCTAAGTCAATGTTATCTTCCTCTTTCTCATTGTTCCTTTGTAGTTTCTATTCTCTTGAGTACTTCCTCATTCATCCCATGGTATTCTATGGTATTCTATGGTTTATTGTATTCTCAGCATTCATTGATAGAATCTTGTCTAAGTTGACAGAAGTCTTTTTGCCCACAAATAATAAAAGAAACAATATTATTTCATTGAATACATCAAGGTGAATAAAAACAATAAATAAAGTAGTGGCAGCCTCATGTTCTGCTATGATCTTTCTAGCAAGGAAGTGTCAGTAAGATATTGAGAGTCATATATTTGATAATATTTCAAATATAGGACTCTCAGTAGCTTAGTATTTTTTAATGATTGCTTGCTTATTCATTCATAACTTAGCTACATATTAATTTCATCATCACCAGATCAAGAATTCTTTTTGGATTCTCCTGACTCATTCCCTCCAACAATCTCTGTCAGACATCTGCAGGCCCTCTAAAAGGCATCCAGAGTCATCTACAAGTCGGTCAATGTAGGTTTGATGAGGTCTTCACACTGATCTTTTTCTGCACAGTGGGTTCCATAGGAGGGTATCACTCACAAGTTCTGACTTATTTCACCAGGAGTGACCAGCTAGCCAAAACCTTCTCTCTCTGAGTGAAACTAATCAGTCAATATGATAAAAAGAAAAAAAATCCCTATATTCTTTAGGGGTAGTTGTAGTTCCATGTGGCAATCATCGACAAACAGATGTTTTGGCAGAGAGAACATAGCAGTTTTATGGATGATCATCCCGTATGACAACCAGAAGGTGCATTGCTCCATTTAGCAGAGAACTGTAATACATCTATAGTATTGGTTCCCATAGATGTCATTAGCCATCAAAAGATTCAAATGACAATTTCGCATATTAATCTAATAATGTGTTTATTCTTCTTGAATTTTAGTTCTTTCTTTCATTGTTATTTTTTCTCTCTATCTTATACTAGTTTTTCTTTTTACATCAAAATTATCTAGTGAACTTACAAAATATTAGCTCACACCGAATGGCTCTTACAAACTTGAGCATACAAAAAATTGGTTTCCTTTCTTATCTAAAAGAAAAAGATAATGCAGAAAAAAGAAAAAGAAGGTGAGAAAACTTATTGTAGGGGAAGGAAAAATTGTTTGAATCACAAGAATAAAAAAGAAAGAAAGGAAAAATAACGAAAGAAAGAAGAAAATAAATAAATAGAAAAAGAGTACAAATGAAGAGGGAGCAGAAAATGAAAGGTGAAATGAAATGAAGAAAGGAATGAAGAATAAAGCAAATAAGACAGAATTAAAAGAAAAAACAATGCTTATGAAAACTAAAAAAGAAACAAGAGTGAGAGAAGAAAATAGAAATATTGTGAGAGAAAAAAACTACAAAAATATTAGAAGGCGCCAAAGAAAACAAAGATGGAAAAGAATAAAAAAAGTTTCAATGAAAAAAGATACGAAAAAGAAAAGATAAGGAAATGCCTTATGCTAACAGCTTATGACCAAAATGGACCAGTGTCAATGCTACCTAAAGAGAGGGTCCATCGAATTCATTGCTGTAGGCAAGTGCAAAAAATTGATCGAGTTCATGAACCTCTTTACCTTCTAGCAGTAAAGGAAAGACAAGAAAGGATTACTGCCCAAGTAAAGTAAAGAAAAAAAAATGAAAGAAGGAAAGAAAAATGACAAAGAAAGATTTTTAAGTCAGATTTTTAAAATTAGAAGCACTTTCGCAGCCAACTGACTTTTGGCCATCTTCATACCCTGCACCCCATTGGGACCTGCCCAACAGGATTTTATACAATATAAGACTGAAATTAATAGTGTACTTGCTAAATTTTTAAAAAAATATATCAAAACATAGAATTTTAAAATATTTTTCATTCCTTTTAGTGATTTAGAATGTTAACTCTTCCTTCTAAAGTACTCAGGAATATATTGATATTTCGTAAGAATTTGGATTTTACAAGAAGTAAGTTGAATACTGGAGTAGAGAGAAAAAAAACAGAGGAGAAAAAAAAAGAGAGGACAAGAAAGCAGAAGAGAGAAGGAGAGAGGGTAAGAAAGAGAAAGAGCAAGAGTAAGTGAGATGGAGGAAAGTGATGAGAGAAAGTGCAAGCAAGAGGAGATAGAGAAAAACTAAGACAAAGAGAGAAACAGAGAAAAAACAAGTTAGAGTGAGAGAGAAAGAATATATAATATATAAATACATTAAGTGATAGAGAGAGATAGTAAGATATAGATAAAAAAGAAATTGAGAGAGAGGGAGAGATCAAAGGAGATGAAATGAGAACAAGAATAAGGGAGCAAACCAGAGAGAAAAATAAAACAAGAGAGAGAGAGAGCAAGAGAGAAAGCAATATATATATATATATATATATATATATATATATATATATATATATATATATAGAGAGAGAGAGAGAGAGAGAGAGAGAGGACATGAGTGAGAACAAGAGAAAAAAAGCAAGAGAGTGTCAGAAAGTCAGCAAGCAAAAAAGAAAGAAAGGAAGAGAAAGAGAATGAGAAAGAGCATGAGTGCATTGGGGGATATTTATAGAATATTTGGGTATAATTTGAGGTCCTTCATGGCATTTCAAGGGGCAATAAACTTACTAGGCAATGTCCATCTCCTCTCCATATAACATGTGATAGATTTTGTTAGATATAGATATCAAGAACAGAGAATGATACTAGTCTTTTTTTTTTACAAAGGAACTTATACATACAATCCATTGCCAATGATGCTGGAAAAATGGTCAGCTCATTCTAATCACTCTGGGAAGCATTTGATCCCTGTTACCAGGCTTTAGCTTCACATAAATAAGATTAAACCAAAAATGATCTATTGCTACCATATCTGAACTGGAGTAACTCAGTCTGCACTTTCTAACCCTGACAGATGCAGTCTTGTAGGGGAGAAACTTATTTTCCCCTTCTGCAACCTCTTTTCCACAGATACAATATTGCAAGCCTATTGCTGCTTTGTTGCTATTTCTATGGAAAATGTTCACATGACTTTGATTTTTAGTTCCACCAGTTCAGGCCTTTCCATCTAGGATATTTCATGCCTTTTCAACAGAGTCAATTCACCCTCAGTTCTCCCCAAATTTAAGAAGAAATTTCTTTACAAGCAGTTTTTTTCCCCAAGACCCATCACTTTGTGGAACAGAATACCACATAGTTCATTCCCAGAACACCTTAATCTTGACCTCTTCATGTCAAAGGTCAATTGTCATTTTTTCTTCATCGTCATCATCATAATCTTCATTTTCTACCACTGTCTCTTCCTTTTATATCACACTCCACATTCATCATTACAATTTTACATCTAACCTTTGATCTTCAGTGCTCTAGAGCGTTGTGTTTGGTGAAATTTAGTGAACAAAAACTACAAACAGTTGGTTCATTGATTTGATTTTCTCTGGTATTAAATCAATAAATCCATAGCCTAATGATGGAAAGCATAATTTTTAAGCATAATCTTTTTGATGCACTTTATTCAGTAGGGAATAATAATTCTATACTCTCGTAGCATGCAACTTTTGAAGAGCTAATTTTGAAGCTAATTTTAAGGGGGTCACATCATACATGAAGTATAAAATTAGTTTATGTACTGCTGGTCCTGACCAAACTATAGATCCATTTACTGTAGTTAAGAAGTACAGCTGTATTTAAAACGAACTTTATTTTGATTTTTAATGCATGTAATATTCAGATATTAGTCTCTTATTATAAAATACAAATATAGCAAATATGCATCTTTTTCATTGTTTACATTTATAAGATGTTTAGCTGTTTCTCATTCGGTTGTTTATGGCTGTATATGTTTACACAATGGGTTTTGCATTACTAATGATACTTTTATCATTCTCTTTTACTTTTTCTACTTATTTAACCAGAAGATGAGATAAAGAGATAGAGGAAAAGAGGTTATTCTATTGTAATTTGGTCTCTCAAAAAAGGAACCTGTATGATACATGAGATACATAATAAAATCATTTTTTTTTTAAGTGGAAATTTGGGGGTCACATGATACCTGAGGTCATGCATTACATGAGTATATACGACAGATTGAATATTATACAGTGAAAATTCCATGCCAAAATTCAGGTAATAACAACATGTCAGGTTGCAGACTAATTGATCCTCTTTTATATGCTTCAAGAAATAATCCAAATATCTGATAAAGAAAAATTAAAATTCAGATAGGAGAATAAAAATGTGGAAGGTGAGAGAACAATGTTTTAAAACTATCTCCCAAGTTAGTTTTATGGTTGTTGATAGTATAAATGTTTGTTTTGATCTAGAAAAAACTTAGTAGACATATTTGTAGCATATTTCAGTACTGAACATAAGTGCAGTTTTTGGCTTTGATATATGTTAGACTTTTTATTTTATGATAATTTTCATTGTTTATACTTCAAATAAATTGTGTCTGGTATGATGATTATACATGAAACAGCTGTAAAGAATAATTAATAACTTAACTGTATTTCAAATTAGAAGCAATCTTCTCGTTCAATATAAATATATTAATATAGACCTTTGATTTGAATTCAGTAATTTATGTATATTTGATCAAGCAGTTTAATTTGATTTTTATTCAACAAGTTAATCTTGGTACCTTGTCAGTGCTGGAACATAATCTTCAGACTCTTGAAACATTTGAGAATTGATAAAGTATTTTGAATTATTTTGAACGAAGGAAAGAAAGAATGAAAATTCTTAAACATTTTTTTTTCAATAAACAAATATTTTATTGGGTCCTAAAAACAATTCTGCAGAAAGAAAGAAAGAAAGAAAGAAAGAAAGAAAGAAAGAAAGAAAGAATGACAGAAAGAATGAGTGAAAAAAATTAAAGAAAGAATGAAAAGAAAGAAAGAAAGAATGAAAATTCTTAAACATTTTTATCAAATATTTTACTGGGTCCCAAAATTAAAAATTAGTAATTATTTGACTTTGAAATATGGTAATAAAAACATTTTTCATTGGCAAACTTATTTCTTTTTTAATATAACAATTTTATATGAATTTTATTTTTATATTTTTTAATTTTAATTTATTAATTATATATTTTTATTTTTATTATTAGTTTTTAATATTATTTTTTATATTTTCTTTTATTTATCATTTTTATATTCTTATTTTTATTTTCTATTTAATTTTTTTTAAAATAACAGTGAAAACATTTTCTATTAGTCAGCAATAGCAAAAATATTTTAGCATGTTTTAAAAATTACTTTTGAATTTTTCATTTTGTTTTACATTCAATAAAATATATTTTAATTTATTTACATTGATAAGCCTTTGTATAATATAAAAAAATATAATTCTGAATGAAGTAATTTGGAAAAGAGATTATTGTTTTTTAATCATAAAAATGTTTTATATAAAACTGATTGAAATTCTGTGGTGTATAACATTTGCAATATTACACAGAAAAGTAAAAATAAATATTATTAGTTTTAAATAGTATCTATCTATCTATCTATCTATCTATCTATCTATCTATCTATCTATCTCAGCCTGTTTCTATCTATCTATCTATCTATCTATCTATCTATCTATCAGCCTGTTTCTATCTATCTATCTATCTATCTATCTATCTATCTATCTATCTATCTCAGCCTGTTTCTATCTATCTATCTATCTATGTATCTATCTATCTATCTATCTATCTCAGCCTGTTTCTATCTATCTATCTATCTATCTATATATATATATATATATGTATGTGTGTGTGTGTGTGTGTGTGTAATTCACAAAACAATTGTCTTTAATTTGAAAACTTCACAAAAAAGAATGTTCCTTATAGAAAATGTTATTCTCTTTCTGCCAAACCTTACTTTTCTGTGCAAAATCCCTAACATTTTATACTTCCTTGTTTCTGTGAAAGGCATCATAAACTTGCCTGTGGTTAAATACTGGTTGTCACAGGTATATTTCAAATTTATTGATAGCTTACTCTTATTTATTAACTGTTGGTAATATGGGTATTGGTCATCATAATCAAATCAGTAATGTTTCCATGGATAGTAAAATTGTGACAGATTTGTGAAAGAGATAGAAAGAGAGAAATGGATTCAAGGTTTTATTAATATTAGAACAGAACAAAAGTTTGCAGTATTTTTAAGTGGATTTCAAATACAATATTTGTAACTGTATTTACCTGGCATCTTGACTAAGTCACTTTCTCACAGATGTGATGTGGCTTCCCTCTGTCTTTTCTACAAATATTTTCATGGCAACTCTGATGAGCTAATTTCACTGGTACCCCAACTGCATGAATTTAAGTGTGCTACTAGGTTAGCATCTTGGTCTCACCCTTTCACTGTCAAAACAGGTAAAAGTAACCACCTCTTCTACTCCAACAGCTTCTTCTCTCACACTTACCGACAGTGTAATTCCCTTCCTTTTACTTGCTTCCCTGATAGCTATAATCTTCCAGTATTCAAATGTAATGTCAATCAACATCTGATGCCTTGATCTTGATCCCTGTCCTTCTCTTTATCCTTTCCTCAAACACCCCTCTTTACACTTACTTTCATTATCTGTAACCCCTTGCGTGCTAGTGGCACTTTTGCCTTGCTTAGGGTGAAATGATTAAAAAAAATAAAGACATATGCTATTTTGTATCACTTCTTTTTGCCATCTTTGAAGCAGTTTCATAATTCCATCCTCCAAGAAATTGCCATCTTTCTACATGATGAACTGGTTTATGCGGTTTTAACAGAATTCCATAGCAGTGAAGGTATTCCCATTAAGAAAAATTTGGTAGGAATTAAAACAAATGAGCTTATGGCCACATCATGTTGAAACACTGGTTTCTGAACGATCACCAAAGTTAAGCAAGATCGAGTCTGGTCATTTGTCTAGAGAATAAGCTGCTGAGGTCTTTTATTGTCATGTTACAAAGTCTTATCACTCACCTTCAGATGTATTCTTGCTCTTAGTTTTGATGAGCTCGTGTAGGAGTCAGCATCACTAATGGTACCATTGGGCATAACATCTAACAATATGGCTCCCTTGTCCCAAAACACATTTAAACTCTTACAGCCTGGGTAGTGCTACTCTTTTGATCTTTTCCTCTCTTGTTCATCATGGTTACTTCAGGTTTCATTTCCTATGACTATCCTGCATAGGAAAGCACTATCTGTGTTGTGCAGCTCCACAATCTCTTGAGCAACAGCCATAACCTCTTCTCACTCATGGAGCCTGTCAGCATTTTGGTAACACACTTTCCACAGAATTTTGAGCAGCTAAGAAACTACCTTAAACTAGAGACACTATCCTGGCTCAACTGAAGGTATTTACAGAGTTTTGCAATACTGATTCTTCTGTCAGCTATAATAAGAGCATCAGCATGCTAAGCTTTATCTTTATTCACAATAGGTGCTTTCCTGCCATTCTGGAGCCTGTTACTGATTTCAGTTTCTATTCTCCTTCTTGAATTGCCATTAACTTTATTTGCCCATCCTCTTATTCTTATTCTTATTTATAAATGTTTATAAAAAGGCAGCACTTAGTTTAAGTGCTGCCTTTTTATAAACATTTACTAACTTCCTGTAAATGTTTGCAGTAACTTATCTTTTGAAAAAACAGAAATTATATAACATCTCTTTGCTATCTCACATGTCCAAAGGTAATTCATTTTGAATAAGGATTATGTGTAAGAAAAAAGAAGATAAATTTAGATATGTTTTTCTAGTTTTCAAGTCACTTCATGATTTATAGCCACCGAAACATCAGAATTCTTGTACCTTTAAAATAGATTAGAATAGGTAATATTTTTTACCAATCCTCATACAAAAGCAGAAACAAGTGAAGCAACTTTTGGTTTTGAGGTACTATTTCAGCAATGCATTTCAGCTGTATACAAGCACTTTCTCAGATCAATGGTCAAAAATGTCTTTGAGTGTGTGAAGCCTGAGGGTCTTGGTGAAAACCATTCTTCATTGAACATTGTGGATTGGTGCCACAGAACCACAAAGAATTGTATAAAATAACAGAATTCTCATTACTTAAGGACTTTTAATAGCAGCAACAACTAAAATAGATATCATATTTAATTTGAGCAGAATGATAACAAAATCAAGTTGTTGATGTTCTATACTACTTCAAATAAAAGATTAGGCAGTCAATACTGGAAAGAGCAATAAGAGCCACTTTAGAAACATCTTTTCCTGAAAAATTGTTGTAATAGAAATATTTTGTAAATTTCAACTAACTGGCAATAATAGCCACTTTAGAAACATATTTTCATGAACAATTGTTGTAATAGAAATATTTTTTAAATTTCAACTAACCAGCTGCTCAGTCATTGAATGCTAAATATTTCCTTATAAGGAAACAACTGATATTACCATTACCACTACCATTTCTCTGGGCATGACTTGCAGCTCAAGTGCCACAAGGATTGTTGCCAGCTGGAGCCAAGTAGTTTGACAATGATGACAAATACTGACATAATAGAGCATTGTAAGGGAGAATAGTGGTTCATGTTGAAATTGTGCCAGGACACATTACAGGATTATGTGGTGCTGAAATTGGAGAGTAGAGTATCTAAAGAGTGGATATCATCAGCAAAAGTCAGTTGAGCCTAATATCTGGAAACTGGCATCTATCAACCTGGCATCTGTCACTCTGTCTGCCATATCTATACATTGTACTATTTATATCCAGCCACTGTCTCTCTCTCTCTCTCTTTCTCTGCTTATCTTTCTCTTTCTCTCTTTTGCTTTTTCTTGTTTTCTGCTTATTTTTCTCTTTCTTTCGCACTTTCTCTTGTTTTATATATATATATATATGTATATATATATATATATATATATACCCTATTTATAAATTGTACTATGTATATCCAACCACACTCTCTCTTCTTTCTCTTTCTCTCCCCCTATCTATATATATATATATATATATATATATATATCACTCTTTCTCTTTTCTCTTGCTTTTTCTCTCCCTCTATCTGCCCTATTTATACATTGTCCTTTTTATATCCAACCACTCTCTCTCTCTCTTTCTTCTTATCTTGCTTTTTCACTCACTTTTTCTCTTTCTCATGTTCTCTCTCTCTCTATCTGTCCATCTACCTGTCTGCCCTATTTATACATTGAAGTATTTATATCCAACCACGCTCTCCCCACTCTCTCTCCCTCTCTCTGCTTATCTCTCTTTTTCTCTCACACCTTCTCTTTCTGTCCTATTTGTCTACCTTTTTTATATATTGCACTATTTATAATCAACCATTCTGTCTCTCTCTGCTTAGCTACATCTTTCTCTCACACTTTTTCTCTCTCTCCCTCTATTTGTCTATCTGTCTGCTCTATTTATACATTGCCCTATTTATATCCAACCTCGCTCTTTCTGCTTATCTCATTTACAGCTTAAATGACTAAATGTAACCTTAAGTTCTATGCTAACAGTTTCTTCTATCTTACTTCTCACTTGTGGAACTTTCTTCTGGCTTTAATCTCCAAAAATTTAAATGCAATATTAGTCATTATCTTCTATCTTCTTAATTTGCATTCTTTTATTGTTTTCTCTCCTTAATATTCTCAAACACTCAATAAGCCCTTACATCATAGTGGCTTTATTGCCTTGCTTAGATTGGATTTATTTTTTTAAAAATAGTTGTTCGTATTCTTAGTTCTCCTAATTTCTGTGCAAGGATTCTTTGCAGCTATAATCATTGTTGGTTCTTGAGCCTTAATTTCATCAATATACAATCCATGGTTTCTGATTTTGTACTGTATAACTATTAGGGTTTTTAAATCACAATTATGTTACAGAAAATTACAGAAAAGATATAAGAAACAAAGTTAAGTTAAATTTAAATCAAAATGGGATCATCTTCATTTTCAAGGACAGCAGCCCATTAAGAAGGCAAATTTCCAATTTCACATTTAAAGAACTTTTCACAGAAAAAAATGTTTGAAATATGATTTTTCATTGTACATCTGCATGTGAGATAGGAATTTCAGAATAATCCATTTCACTTTTAATGATGGTTGCAATCTTACAACAATACCTGACACACCAAGCAAATTTGCTTTGTGGGAGGGAAGTCTTCTTGCTCCTCACACTGGAAAATATCGAAGATGAAGAAAAGACTTGAAGCTACAGAAATGCAGTTTTAGAGATATGAACCAAATATGTGAGCAACGAAAAGGTTTTAGAGAAAATGGAAGCAAAAAGGAAACTTGTAATTAACATCTGGAAGAAACAGTTGAAATTTCTAGGGCACATAATGAGGAAGGACGGCTTGGAAAATCTGATACTCACAGGGCAGGTTGAGGGACAGAGAAAAACAATGCATAATCTACTTAATGAGCTTGAGTAAATGGATGGCGGAACATAGTTTAGAAGAAATAACAAAATGACAAAATCAATCAAGTTCTACAAAGGATGGGAAATTGTGGTGAGCCATGATCACCTACATCCTGAGGGGAAACAGCATATAAAGAAGAAGGTATATTTTTTAACCTATTCTATGAAACTGATTAATTACAGGTATCTGCTTACCTGATTTTTACTTTATTCAGTCTTTTATTAATATTCTACCCATTTCAGTAAAATAGTAATAAATCTCCTGGGGTACATAGGTAGGGTACACTGATAGCCTTCTTTATTTACTCTTTTCTTTTTTCCTCTTTTAGCTACCGGCTGTTTATCTCACTCTTATTGTCCCAGTTTAGTAGGCAGATAACTAATATACGAGCCTCTTGGTCATGCTGACTTAACCTAGTGACAGAGACACATGTGATAGTTTGTATGAATTGACAAGCAGACAAATAGAGGGCCAGAAAAGGAAGATTGGTATTGGATGGATTGTGGTATAAAGTGATGATATTCTTGTCAAGAAGGAAGTGGCATGTCAGCTGTGCAATGTTAGAATGATGAACAATAAAAGAGAAAAGTGTTGCTTCATTGGCATGGTGTGGTTGGGAGGGTGTTTTCTGCTTTTTCTTTTCTCTCTTCTGCTAATAGAAAAGAAATCTTCTTTTACTTCTTTCTTGTCCAGCAATGTGATTGTTATGTACTTGTAATTATTATTTTCTCTCACATCACTAGAAGGAAAGTTTGTCTAAAGTGAGGAAGATGTTAGTGGCATTACTCAGAAATAATCATGGTGATGGTGGTGATGCTGGCAGTTGAGGTGGAAAAAGAAGTGAATTATTCTTTGTCCTTTTGTTTATTTCTTTATTTGTTTATCTTATTGCTTTTTTTCCTTTATTGTTTTTCTATTTTCTCTTCCAACTTAATTATTCCTTTCTTTTTTTCTTCCAGTTTTTGACTAGACTTTTGAATTCTTTGATTCTTCTTTTCTCTTTTTAATTCCAAATTCATATTTTCTTTCTCTCTCTCTTTCTCTCTTTCTTTTTTGTTTATTTCTTTCTTTCTTTCTTTCTTTCTCTCTCTCTCTTTTTCTTTCTCTCTTTCTTTTTCTTTCTTTCTTTCTGTTTTTGACTAGATTTTTCAATTTTCTGTCTTCCCAATCTTTTGTTTGTTTGTTTGTTTGTTTGTTTGTTTGTTTGTTTCTTTCTTTCTTTCTTTCTTTCTTTCTTTCTTTGACTAGACTTTTCCTTTCTTTATCTCTGGTTTTTATTTTATTTTCTATTTCCAAGTTTTTTGTTTGTTTCTTTTATTCTTTGATTTTTTTTTCTTCCTGTTTTGACCAGAATTTTTCAATTCTTTGGTTTTTATTTTATTTTTTTGATTTCCAAATTCTCCCTTCCTTCCTTCCTTCCTTCCTTCCTTCCTTCCTTCCTTCCTTCCTTCCTTCCTTCCTTCTTTTTCTTTCTTCTTCCTTCCTTCCTTCCTTCCTTCCTTCCTTCCTTCCTTCCTCCCTCCCTTCCTTCCTTCCTTCCTTCCTTCCTTTTTTTCTTTCTTCCTTCCTTTAACTAAACTTTTCCTTTTTTTATTTCTGGTTTAGATTTTTTTATTTTAAATTTCAAATCTTTTTCTTTCTCCTTCTCTCTTTTTACCTCTAATTCACATTCTAATCCTTTTAGTCTTTTTAATTTATCCTCCTTTCTTTCCTTGCACTTTTCTTTTTTTTCTCTAAATCTTCTTCCTTTTATTCTCTTTTTTCACATTTATATATTTTTCATTATTTCTATCAACATTTTAGCATTGTTGTTTTTTTTCTTTCTTTCTTTCTCTCTCTTCTTTTTCACTTTATTCCCTATTTTCTCCTTCACTGTATTTTTCAATCCTTTACTCAAAGGGAAAATTACGGGACCTCCTAGACAGGGTTATAGAAGAAAGTGAGAAAAAAGGACTAACCATCCACTGCAAGAAGGGCAGCAAGTATGGTCATTGGTAAGAGAAAAAGCCCAAAGATGCTAATAACAAATTGGATATGTCAAAATCAAGCAGGTGTAGAGATTTAAATATCTGGGAAATGTTTTAACTGGTGATGGAAAATGTGACACTGTTATCTAAAGATAGATTGGGTTAGTAAAAGAAAGCTAATCAAGGTGCTGTGAATTAGAAAAAAAATTGTTAGAAACAAAGAAAAGAGTGCTGGATTGCTATATGAGATAGAGAGAGAGATATTAAGTTGGTGCATAATTATCAGGCGTTTTTGTAGGTGAGTTATTTGTTAATAAAAATTGCTGTTTTGTTTACATTTTTCTAATAAAAATATTATTTTATTTCCAGGTTATAAAAATGCATGCTGATAATCATACTCATTATTATAATGTTATTGTTGATTTGTTATGTTTCTTTTTTCATAATAAATATTGTTTAAAAAACACCTGATAATTATGTACGAACCCAATAAATAAAATGTGGACATAAAAATCAACACTGCATGGTGACTGGCAGTTTCATGTAAGGCATGAAACTGCCAGTCACCATGCAGTGTTGATTTTTTATGTCCAATCATTTCCCTGCATCAATAAATAAATAAATAAATACTAAATTATTCCAATAGCTAAATGTATAGATCAGTTATAAAAAAATCAATATGGCAGAAAAGAAAATTGAATGTAGAATAGGAAGTATTTTGCCCAACACTACAAATTGTAGCAAAAACCTGAAAACTTGGGTCATGTTCTTAAATAGCCTCATCAGATTGAGATTATCATATGGATGTCATGCATGGTGCCAAAAATGGAATAAAAACTGGCTGGTTACATTCAATGCTATTGAAGACCAAGCTAGTTACATTCCATCATCACCAATCTGACCCTGAACTACCACCAATTTGGATGAATGGAGATCCTCTCAGGGAAACACCATGCTTTGAAAGACTGACACCTTACCTGAAGTGGAACTCTTAAATACAATCCATTGCTAAGGATGCAGATAAAATATTTGGCTCTCTGTAACACTCCAGTAAGTACTTAACCCCTCCTGCTATCCTTTACCTTTATAAGAGTGAGATCAGGCCAAAAATGGAATACTGTTATCATATCTCCACCCTTCAACCTCTCTTCCACAGGTGAGATATTGGCAAGCCTTTCACAAGGAAAGTGCTTAGTGAAACTACTTTCTCTGGTCCAGCTGAGGTAAATCTTCACAGCAAGACCACGCCATGCCACTTACATAGTAGCAAATCCCCGACATTCTTTCTGTATTCCATTGGTGAGAAGTAAGTCCTACTCAAGCATCTTCTTCCTACGAACCCTTGCCCTGTGGTACCAACTCTTAACTGGATGATTCTTCGATCACTACAATCTTAACCTGTTCAAGTCTAGGTTTAGCCATTATCTTCCACTCCTATACATACAAATGGCCTCCAAATGTAACCCTCTAACTTGGGTGGCCCCCAAGCCTTGTAAAGCATGAAAATTGTTGTAAAAAACAAAAAAAACGAACCAAACATTCAGAAATATCTAAACTGTCAGCTATACAGGGTGTTGCAGCAAAATCTGACACTTGACAAAAAGAAAACAAAATACACAATAAAAACAAGTTGTATATGCAGATAACCGACAGTTTGACAACTAACTAACGTTTTTCTCTCTAGCCTTTTCCAGGATGGAATATGAACACAGAGCAGTGGTAGTAGCTTCTTTTCATGTCAGGAAGAAGCCTGCAGAAGTGATGGCCTGGTTTGGCTTCAAGAGGACCATGGTCATGGACATTTGGAAGAAGTGGAAGGTGTGTGAGAACAAGGACGAGCTTACTGCCAAATGACATGCCCACAACATTCGTTCTTCAGCTGTTAGGACCGACAAGTTCGTCGCTGCTGTCAAGGAGAGAGTTGACAATGATGGAAGCCAGAGCTATGCCAAGATCGCCGCTGACTTTACTGTTGAACGATTAAGAAGGACATTGGTTACTCCCCCTTCCACAAGTCTCTCCGCATGTTCATCACAAATGCCTCCAAGGAATCAAGGAAGGTCAAGGTGGTGGCTTTGCTGAACGAGCTCAAGCATGGGTCTGCCAGGATGCTGAGGTTCTTCTCTGATGAAAAGAACTCCATCCAGGACCAGACGATCAACAGCCGGAAACTCAGGTGGATCAGCAAAGACATTGGGGAGCTTCCCATCATGAAGCATACAAAGTTTCCCTCCTCCATCATGGTCATTGGTATCATCCAGCAAGGGGGACGTCATGCCTCCATTCTTCTTTCAAAAGGGCCAGAATATCCTGTCTGGTATCTGCATGGTCAACTTTTTTTTTTGTTTTCTTTTTGTCAAGCGTCAGATTTTGCTGCAACATCCTGTATACAACTGCATTCTAATTTTAGTGGTCTTTACTGAATGAAGCCTGAGAGTCTTCTCAAAAACCATCCTTTTTGAATATTGTGAACTGGTGCTACGGAGTCACAAACAAAGAACTTTTCCAAATAACAGAAACCACATCACTTGAGGACTACCAACAGAAGCTACAAATAAAATGGATAGCACATGTAACCTGTTTCACTGGTATTGATATTATTACTGATCCTCACTCTTTAGTGCAGTGAAGGTGCTACTGCTGCAGGAAGCTGCTCCTCTAGTCTGGCCATCTCTCAATAATATTTTTGGTTGTGCTCTGTCCACAGACACAGCTGTGTTGCACCCTGTTCATAGACAGAGACACAATTGTGAGATAAAATGTCATTTACCCATCCAAAGGCAGTTACTGCACTTTGATGGTTATGGAGTGAAGAAAAATAACTCAAATATCACTGGTTGTTCACTTAATGAATTTCCTTATAAAGAAATGGTTAATACCACCAAGTTAAAATCTTCCAACCATCAATAAACTGTCAAGCAAAATTTTAATCTCAAACATTGATAGATAGTTTTCAATATACGAATGATTGAAGAGAGACTAAATTTTCTATTTCATTGACTATTATTTATATGCTTTACATTCAGACTATTTGCTTCATTTTTCCTATTATTATCACAATGTTTACATTCCACACTAATTCAAATAAAAGGTTAGGAAGGAAACTCTATCAGCACTGAAAAGTGTGATAACAGTTACCGGATTTAAAAAAAAACTTTATTCCTGAAAAATTGTTCCAAGAGAAAGATTTTACAAATTTTACTCAAAAGCAGTACTAGTTGCTCAGTCAATGAATGCTTAATGTTTCCTTATAATGAAACAGCTAATATTACTATTGTGGGGGAATACATTTACCTCACAAGGCAAAGTGTACCTGTTTGGTGTGTAAATCTAACATGGCTGTCGCCACGAGGGAGTGATGAGTCACACATGGTCGTGAGGAGCAGCTATTTGCAGTCATCCTACTATGCATGTGTGAAACTACATTTTTTAATACTATCAGTCATTTGCATGCATGATTGAAAATTGTAATAAATAGTGGATTGCACAGTCAGATAGAAAGTGAACTTATAGAATAAGGAGTGTTTATTTGAATCAGTGAACATAGAAGTTTTTCTGTGAGAGTTGAAAATGCTTGATTCATTGTGTGACCTGTGCATTTACAACCCCCAGCTTTTAACCATTGACAGCCCCACCCAACTGGATAGTGATTTAACATCAATTATCATTACAATTACTAATATCACTACCAATTAAAAATGCTGTGCTGTATATATCTCTATAATGTTTACAAATGCACTATTGCATATAATATATCTATATATGTCACACACTACATTTACTACACTACATTGTTTACAGTAACATACACTTTGAGCAGATATAGATGCTCAAGGGAAATCATGGGATATTTGTAGTTTAAAAGCAGTAAAATCGATCTTGCTAACCAGATGCTTCTTCATAGCTAAACTGGTATAGCACGTCAGGCTATAATGATGGTTCTCTGTAGGATACAAGTTTGATTCCTGTTGGAGGACGCATATTTTCTATGAAATTTTTTGGACGTTCAGGACAGTAAATGTTGATAATACTGTTTATTATAAACAAAGTATTTATTTAAATATTTGTGCACATATAAATAACATATAACAATAAAATATATTAAAAAATATATGTATTTAGGGGAAAGAATTATAAAAAAAATGGAAAAGTGTTCCTGTTGTGTGTTTTTCATCCTTTACGACTTCATTGGACTAGATTTATGTTTATATTGATATGACATGTACACAAATGAATGGGGAGGATCAGAATTTAAAATTTAAAAAATCTTATTTAATTTAATATTTGTTTTGTGTTTATAATTTTGCTTATGTTGCCATCACTTTTATTATTAAGTATATTCCATTGTGTATCTGCCAAGAATGATGAAATGTGACAAACTGAACATAAATTTATTGTGGTTGATCTAGTGATTAAAGCACTTTCTATATATTTTCATCAGAATAAATTGTTTTCTCATTGATTAGCACATTTTAAAACAAAAATGTGTCAGTTGCATTATGGTCAGCAACTAATGCATTTTCTATCTATCTATCTATCTATCTATCTATCTATCTATCTATCTATCTATCTATCTTATCAGTTGATTTACCTATCACATCCTGTT